CCCCACAGTTCCACTATACGTCCATTGACGTCACAGGGCCACTGGGGGCACCGGAAGGCCAGGGAGGGGGAGAGGCAGCAGGGCTGGGGGCCAGCAGGAGGCCCTCCGGATGTTGGTGGGTAGGGCGGAGCCAGGCTGGATCCAAGCCCAACTCACTCCCCCTCTTCACTCCCTCCCCCTCGTTAATGCTCCCAAGCCCTCCAGATAAAGTCCAAACTCAGAGCCCCACCTGATACAGCCTCCACCTGTCCCTCCAGCTCCATCTTCTTTATCAGACACTACTAGTGGGGCTACCCAGTGAGGTAGATGCTATTATCGCCACTTTACAGATGAGGAGACTGAGGCACGGAGCGATGACAGAGCTAGTAACGGCAGAGCCAGGATTCGAACCCAGGCCATGTGGGTCCAGAGTCTATGCTCTAAGTGCTCCGTGTGTGACCTCAATTGCTCCCTTCCTGCTGTTCTCGTTCCCCCAAACACACCGAACTTCTCACCCATTACCTGCTGTTTCCACTTTCATGCCTTTTTGCTCAATGTCCCCTCTGCCTAGAAGACTCTTCCCTTGGTATCCTGACAAGCTGTCCTCATCCTTAGAGGGCCAACTCAAGTGTCACCTTCCCTGTGAGGCCACCCTTGACCTCGGCCTCCTTCCTCTGCCAACAGGCAGAGTCCTGTGTGTCACAGAGCACTCTGTACACACCTCCACTGCAGACAGCCCTGGCACTGGGGACTCCTGGATATCCAGGGCGGTTCCTCCCTGACTGTCTCACCTCTGGATGCCCAATGTCTGGTCCAGAACTTCGTCCAGCTTGGGAAATGGTGAATGCAGGATGAGCTGGGGGCACAGAGAGAAACCAGACTCTAGCCCTTGCCCTCTAGTGGGACAACTGAACCACAGACAGCCCAAGATCCAGGGGGATCTGAGTCCCAAGAGAGGCACACAGAGCCTGCAGTGTCCCAGGCTCCGACAGATGACACTCTGCTTCCCACTGGTGGAGTCCAGCAGGCTTCTCCCAGGGGTCAGCTTGTGCACTGGGCCTGGAAAGATGGAGAAAATCCCAGTGGCCGAGTGGGGTGCAGGCAGCAGGAGAGCCGGGGAAAGGATTCCGGGCTGGCAGAGGCTGAGGCAGGGAGGCAGGAAAGCAAGACGTACTGTGAGGACCAATGAGCTCAGCTGAGCCTCCCAACCCCACAGCGGGGCTGCAGGAGGGCAGGGCCACCTCTGCCTGACGCTCCATGCTGTCCCCTGCCAGCACCCAGCACAGAGCCTGACATAGTGGGTGTGCTGTGAAGGTTTTAGGAGGCAGATCTCATGGGGTGTGAAGTCATACAATTTGGTGGCCCTGTTTAAGAGAAAGAATGCAAAATTCCTAATATGGATGTAGGCACAAGAGTGAGTGTGTATTCTCAGTGAAAGTGGGAAGGAGCTGTACAGCAGAGCTGAAGCTGCAGTAGCTTTGCTGTTAATCCTCTTCTGGTGGGAAGAATATACGGAGGGTGGAAGGTTCTTGGAGCAGGGGCAAAGGCTGACGAGGCTAGCCTGTTCTGTCAGCCCGAGGCCCAGGTTCAGGGCCCGCCTCTGAGCCCTCAATCACCTTCCCAGACAAGCCACCGTGACCATGCCTCTGTCACGCTTCGTGGGCCTCTCAGGCCACAACAAGGCCCAATTCTCCCAGGTCAGGAGACTTCCTCCCCCTGGGAGGGTGGCCAGGGGCGAATGTGGGCGTCCGAGAACTGTTTGTTGGTCACATCCTGGTGACCTTGGGCCCTCCTCTCCCGGGCCTCGGGGGTCAGCAGGGTCTGTTCTGAAAGCCGCCTTTTCATCTTGGCATTCTGCTCCTCTGGCCCGCTGAGGAGGCTCTCACGGCAGGGGCGGCCGGAGAACGGCTCTCTGAGAGCCTCATTCATCTCCCAGTCTGAGGTCTTACGAGGGCCATCCGGCACTCTGCTGGGTGGTGGGGGGCGGCGGTGCATTGCCACAGAGGTGCTCCCAGCCCAGGGGGGCCAATTGGACATGAAGTACATAATTACAGAGCCTTCACCCCAAGAGATCCCAGGCCAAAGGCGGACCTCCTGGGGGAGTCCAGGCAGGCTTCTCAGAGGAGACACTTGATTTGTGAGATGGAGCATGCATTCAACAATTATGTGCTGAGCACCTACTCTGTGCCCAGCTCTGTGCTAGGCTCTGAGGGCACAGCCGTGAACAGGACAGACGGGCATTTGCCCCAAAGTTCCTTCCCTTCAGTCCAGCAGGGAAGTAGGAATTAACTCAGGAAAGAAGGGGAACATGGTCCTCCAGAGAAGGGGAACAGCAGGAGCAATCACATGGAGGGGAGAGATTACATCCTGCTTGTGGTTTGAGGTTTGGTGCGAGGTTTGCTGGGAGGTTTGATGCGAGGGGAGAGGGAAGTGATTGGGAGATGAGGCTGGGGGGCGGTTAGCAGAGAGCAATAATGGAGGGGCTGGAACACCAGGCTAGGGACTTAGGACTTGATCATGCTGGCAACTGGGAGCCACTGAAGGTTCTGAGTAGAGGGAGAAGTCACAAGGTTTCTTAGCACCATTACCAAGCTCAACACATAAGGCAAAATAGCCTCCTACCAGCCCTCTAGCCACAGCCACCTGGAGCCCATTCCCCACCTCCAACCCCTGGGCCTGGCTAAGAGAGCCTCCCTCCCCCGCCTGGACTTCAGCCTCCAGCTCTCCCTCTTTCTTGTTCTTCCAACCAGACTAAGGCTGGTGCACTCTAAAGAGGGGATGGGGCAGAGCCTCTGGGTCCAGGCCTCCCTGGACTCCAGCCCTTCACCGGGTAGGCCCCACACCATTTGCCTCTTGTGGGCTTTACATGTTTTCATGCTGTCTGGTTCCCTACAAAGCTCTGTCTTTCCCATACCAATGCCTGGCTTCAAAACTTCCCAGGGCGCCCCTCTGACAACCAGTGAGTCCAGACTCAGGGTCTCCAAGGCTGGGGCCTCAGCATAACCCTGCTGAGTTCAGGGGCATGAGCACGACCCCCACAGAGTTCTTCGCCCTTAGACTGAGGTCTGAACTCCCTCCTGTCTGGCCCAGCTTGCCTCTCCACACTCCTCTTCCCATCAGCTCCCCTGTCCTTTCCCTGGGAGCTCCAGCCGCCCTGAACTTGTCTGGGTTCTTCAACAAAGCAATGCTCTCCCTCGCCTCCAGGGTTTTGCCCAGGCTGGCCTCTCTGCCCAGAGCACCGTCCATTCCCTGAGGTTCCCTCCTAACCTAGCTAACCCCTACTTGTGGCCGGAGCGTGTCTGTCACTCCCTCAGGGAAGCCTCCCCTAATCCCCCAGAATCAGCCAGGGGTTCTCAGAAGTGTTCTTTCAGACTCCATGCCTTTGCACATGCTGTTTCCTCTGCCAGGAATACCCCTCCCTCCCTCCTTTGAAGCCTGGCACCTGCCCAGTCCCTGCCAAGCAGCAGCATCTTTATTTCCCTTTTACAGATAAGGAACCAGAAGCTCAGAGAGGTCAAGTCTGTTCAAAGCCACACAGCTTTGCCCTAGGATGCCATAGCGATGAGTGAATAGAATCCTGCGCCAGCAATATGGTCTTCCGACATCACTTAGCTTCTCTGTGCTTTGGTGTCCTCATCAGCGAAATGGGGCACCTCCTGCATACGTTGGCGTAAGGCTCACAGAAAAGCTGTACTGTGTGGCCTCCATTCCTTCACCCCTCAGTCCAATTAGTGGCTTTCACACGGTCCCTACAGCACATTCAACACTCGGTTCATTCATACATCAAAACCCTCCGACGCCTGCTCTGTGCCCTGCCCTGTGCGGGGCGCCGGGGACTCGAGATAAATCTGGCACAGCTCCCGCCCCCAGGCTCTGGGTGGGGCGGCGGGGCACTGACGGGAGGGACCTCACGACTCGAGGGGTGTGTGTGTGTCCTCACACACCTCTGCTCTTGACTTCATATTTTTAAAACTGATAATGACGCACCTCCCTCGCAGATGGGCGCTGGGAAAGGGGAAATGTCAAAGAAAGATGCGCACTTTATTTTATAAAACTTATTATCACCGCTTCCTGAAATCTGAATATTTCACAGCATCCGACGCTCACCTCCTCGCGCTGAAGCCCTAGAAGCTGGGGAGAGCGAGGAGTACTGTGAGGGCGGCGTCCCACCCCTCCCGGGGGGCTCCACTACCCTGGGGAACCCACCTCCATCCTACTTCTTTCCCTACCCCGCCCCCTGTTCCTACCCCAGACTCCCCCACGTCCCTGTCCCCCACAAACCGGTCCCCCTCACCTCTCCCTCCCTCCGGGTCGCCAGGTTACCCGGGCCCCCGCTCCGCTCTTTAAAACCCCCACCGCTCCATTGTCCTCGCTCCCACCGCACTTCTGCACGGCCTGCCCCGCCCCCGCCGGGGTGCAGTGCACGTTCCGCCGAGCTCCGCTCTTTTCCCCCTCTCCGATTGGCTCCCGCCGCCACACGGCGGGGCCGGGGCGGCGACCTGGAGTGCGCCCCGCCCCTTGCCCGAGGCCCGGCCGAGGGGCGGGGCCTC